GGGGTCTGCATGGTTGTATGAGGAGCTGCTAAGAGTCCGGTCACTTCCAGATAAGGGTATGAAAACACCAGCGTTGCCTTCAGCGGTGAGAGACTGACAATGTCCAGGCTGATGGGATGGGAAGACACATATTTAGACCAGATGGGAATGTAAAGACATTCTGATCATATTTGTGACAAATATGATTATAAATGCACCTGAGAAAACAGTCAACTAATGCTTATTATGCAACTTATACAAAATCAGACGTTCGGGAAAACACAAAGTCTATAAAAATACCTATGTTTCTAAAAATGGTACAAAGAAACCAATATTGATAATAATAATGAAGTATAAACTGGCCGCTTAATCAACACTAGTTAGAGGACTAAATCCAGACTAGACTGTGCCTTCCGCTCCCCCTTGTGGCCTAAGTAGGGTGTCTACAAAAACATCCCCACTACTAAAACTGGAAAAGCTGCTAGCCCGCTCAGTCGCTGTATGACATTCATTTACATGCATACTTTGCTGCTATTATCATTTAAAGCCAAATCATTAGTCAGGAACGTCTCGGACCACATCACACTCTTAAAAGATCCCGAGCAGCTGGCACGAGAGGGCTGGAGCCGCCGGTGTGCTTTGTTGTGTTTGAGTTTGGCCCCAGCAGAGCTATTCCACCAGCCGCTGCCAAACTGACCCTGCGCGAGGAAACCGAAGAATGGGAGCCAAAAACATATGACTCATCGTTTTGCCGTTGGATATGCTCGCTTCCAGCAGCGCTGTTTCCATGTGAAACAGCCTGGGTCTCTGTTATGTAATCGGCCACAGAACTACACGGAGACATGAGAGCTGAAAATCTGCCTGTTGGGGTCTGTTCTTCATCAAACCAGGCCTTGTTCTGCCCGAGCCGGTCTCATTCCCCCCTCTTAGCGCATACCAGTATTACCATTATGTAATTTATGAGTTTTAATTTGGGGAATGCACTATGGGCTGGACTCCCACCTGCAGGATGCCAAACCTTAATCTAATAAACTGGCTTTGAAATGCACAGCTCAATGCGGTATTGGGAGCTAAAAAAAGGACTCCTCTGATTCTGACAACAAACAAAGACGACCACTCTCTGATAATGGAGGACCATCTATCCTCTCCTCCAGCCATCGGCCATCTGTCTGATGAGGCCATGTTGGCCTATTGGGGATGGAAAAAGAAAGCAGTGGACTTTTTTTATTTTTTTCGAAACCATGAGGAAATCTAGGCTTCTACTTCCTTATTGGCACAGCGGTGTTCAATGCGTGCAGCTGTCAGTTCAGCCACAAGCTGCAAAATACCTGAACTCATGAACTCCATCGGATAGATGCTGGTTCCTGTGTGCGGCTTTACCTTGTGCATACAACAGGAAACCCAAATAATCTTCGAGATAACTGAGTTTCATCTTTTGTGTCTTACTTCCTTTATAACCCCCCCTTCCTCCTAGCCTCCCGGCTCTTGCACAAGATAACATCAGTATTAATCTGCGTTATTGAATACTATCTATCAAGCTACAGTTCTAGTCAATCCACCAATTGACGTTACGGCATGTCAGGGTGTTTGTCAAGAGTGGGCAGTCCGTGCGCTGTTTTTTTTCTGACTCACCCCTCCTGGTCCTGGAGAAGATTTTCATGCTCGCAGGCGTGGAGCTGGGCAAGGAGCGGAAGATGCCGCTGAAGCTGAGTCGGCGGGGGGACTTGGGTGGGGAGTCCTGATAGGAGGGATAGGGGAAGATGGTTTTCGGGGAGCCCGAGCCGGCCCTCACATGCACTGGAGCAGACTGAGAACATGGGGTCAAAGGGGCGCCGGCTGATGGGCTCCTCGCGGACACCCCTTTGGTGGGGCTCGCTGAACGGATGCGGCGCTCTCCCTGAAAGACAATAAAAAGAGAGACGGTTTGATTTTCCTGCACTTTTGAAAAAGGTGTGACTTTATGCTCAGAGTGTTATGTGGGACGGTGAGAGGCCGCTGAGCTTATCTGTGAAAAACTGACAGACACATAACAACACGGAGAGATGTATTGTGAAATGACGGCCACTGATTGCGCTTGCTTTTTGAGTGAGCTTTCCATTATTGGTTACTTCTTCTTTCTCCCCCCCCCACACACACACACACACAGTTTTGTTTAGTCAGCCATGTTATAACACTCTATGGTACATGTGAGTAGCGGGTGCAGAGTGCAATAAGGGAAATGTTCTTTCATGATCCATAAACGTAACTGAGATACCAACCATATTGATTCCTTACTTTCTTAAACAGAGCGCTCTATGACGCAGCACTTTTCATATCTCATTCTGTCTGCACATAAAGCTGTCAACGACTTTATTAGAGCTGAGCCGCAAAATATATCAACAATTTTGCATTTCATGCCGCATTCACAATGTTAACCATTAAGCATGTTTTTTTTATAAAACATTGTACAAATCCAAAAGGTTCTCCATCTCTCTCTAAGACTTAACATAACGCTGCATAGGGCACCATGTTTAAAGGCCTCGCCCTTGATACGAGTCAGTAACAGCACCATCAGGTCCACTGTCTGACAATCAGCCCTCCTCTTAAACAACAGTGAGCCTATTTTTCATTCTAACTTTCTGTGTTTACGAGTCCGTCTTCGCAAGGTTAACATACACCGACAAGATAAATTCTTCTCTTTCTCGCAGCGCAGATACCAAAAACAAAACAGAGGAGAGACGGCAGCCAATCTCTCCGGAGACAGAGAGCGCCTCCTCCCACTGCCGTCTGCTCTGGATGTGCCAACAACCAATCTTTTAACCATTTGTGGTTTGTCTGTGACACAGTGAGGCGTTAGAACACGCAGAGATCTCCCGCTCGGGAGGGAGTATTTACAGAAAACAATCAAATGAAACAAGGAGTGTTTTGGTCACGTTGTTGGTAGATAAAAAAAGTCTATGTAACATAACCGGGCTCAACAAAACAGATGCGTGATGATATGAAGTTATGCACTGGTAATACAATCAAAACAGGGAAGAACTGTTTGGTCTGGTCTGCTTCACGAAGGTTCAGAGCGGTGTTTGCATAGAGGCTTAACCCAACTCCATGTGCACATTTCTGTTTAAACCAATCCCTGTAACAAGTCTGAGGGAGGGAAAGCACACACCCATCATTTGTGTTTGCCAACAACTCCAACTCTGACATTGTGCAAGAGCTTGTTAAGGCACGTGAATAGCTATGAGGGTTTTTTTTCTGGATATATATTACCTGTTTAAAAAAACACAAGAGAATGCAGGTTCTGATCAAAATTACACACGAGTGAAATATGTAGTCGGGCGGATATGAGGTAATGATCACAGAATGACTCCTATTCAAATCAATCAGAGCAGACAGTAGGAAGGGACTGCTTTCTTTGAGAAAAATCAATTTCCTGTGCCTGGACACAGTGGGCATGATGTTACTGTAAGCCAGTGAGAGTTGGCAGAATCGGAGAGATGGCCTTGAGTAATATTTTGCTCTCCCAGATCCACGTCTAAACGTATTCAAAGCCAAACAAACAAGACGTATCTTATCTAAAAGATAAGATACATTTATTGGGGGGGGAAATAAAGCAAGTATGAGAAAACAAACAAGTGGCAAGTAAATGAAAACAAAAAACAAACAAAAAAAAATAAAAAAATCAGGAAAATAATATCTGTACCGTCTGAGCACCACTTTTGGTTGAGCCACTCGTCTCCACTTGTGGGGATGTAAACGCACCAAAGTCCTGCAGATAGAAGAGTTTATAAGAATCAAGGATAAAGATAACTTTCAGGAAAACGAAAAGTGTCAAGTCATAACAGGCAACATGAACGCCTGCTTAGCCAGCACGTGCTGCTTTAAAATGGATAATTGACGTTCCTCATCAATTTGAGTGAAAGTGAAGAAGTTTGGCACACCACTCGAAAAAGAAGAAGAACATGCTTTGACAATGCGGAAACCTTTGCGAGCAAACACAACACCCAACCTTCCCCATACCAAGGGCTGAGTTTTACATTCCACACTAGAGCACCTCAGTTTGATTATACAATTAGGTGAACACACAAACCAGTTCCGATTTATACTACGCAACTGCGTCGGCGCTTCCACCAGGTCGAGGTTGGGGAATTTCATGTAGTGGAAGGAAAAGCCACAACACTGTGTTGTATTCACAAGCTTACTTCCTATTGGGGAAGTGATTTGTCTCATATATACAGCTGCACATGAACGCATCATAACAACTCGAATGACACTTTCAGCTGCATTTTTATTACGTCGTTTGCCATCTGCATTTAAATTGGGCCAGCATGCAGGTGGATCTGATGGATGCCGTCCAAAAAGCGCATGCCTGTGAGCTACAGTAGCATGGCTGTTATCTACGCCACAAGACAAAACAAATGTGTTATCACCAAAGTGTGCTCGCGAGATGTTTTGTCCTTGAGAAACAGAAGGTTCGATAGAGCTTTACGGTCTGCAGTAATATCATTCCCTTCATAGGTCTTTGTAGGCTTGTGAAGCAAAGAAAAACAACAACACAAACCCCAGACATGAACTGCCCACAGTGGTGAATAGAGCCCACTGTGACCCAGGCCTGGCTACTGAAGTAAACATGGTTCTAGGATGTTTCCCTTGCTTGTTATTACTTGTGTTTTCCTCGCAGTACTTGCATGCACATAGAGAAAACTCTCTGATTGATAAAACAATAAATTCATCGTTGGTCGCAGCCTGATGATGACGTTAGTGGTTAAAGCCAGGGGGAGTTGGCTACCATGACAACACATTAAAGAGTTATGGACATACCGTTGAAAATGTTTAACCTGTCGCAACATATATTTCCCAACAGACAACGTTTCTATCGAGCGGTATGTCCACTCAACGTGGCGTTAGAAGATGTTAATGTTGAGTCAGTTTTTGTGAC